CTGTATACCCACCATGTCTTCCGGACAGCGACCCACTTGACAGGAATCTGAACATAACCCCAATACGCGAAATTCACCTGCCCTCGCAACCTCGGCTTCTGAGGCGCTGTGTTAGAACGCGGGCTGAGGCGCGCATTCGCACAGCCATGGTCTCAAGCGTGACAGCAGGCGAGAACATTGCGCGAATTTCAGGGTACAGCTCATGCTGTGCAAGTGAACGGATGGGAGGTTGAGGGAGTGGTCATGCGACAGTGCAAGAGAGGAAGATTGCACGTCTTCCTTCGGCGTGCAAGAGCGCTCTCGCCACGAGTGGGTAGCATTGTCCGCGGCGGAATGCAAAGACGCCTGCTGGTCTATGAGGAGATGCTCAGAATGAGCGGACGGAACCTGCACGGAAGACCTTCACATGAAGCGGCTGGAATAGCTATGATAAGCGGGTGCACTGCCAGTCTACACTGAGCGCGTATGGCAAATGCCCCCTCCTTAGCACGCTTGGATCAACAAGACAATACTACCCCGATCAGCCCATCTCCATGATAGGCATGACGGGTGACGGGTGACTGCTCACCACCATCGATGGCAGGTAGACATGTCAGATGAGCACTCGTAGACTTTCCCTGTCGATCAGAACTCGACTCGGACCTTGGTACGTGATCAACGTTCATCCGACAACTCTCTACAAGAGTCTACACCTGCATTGCATTCAGGATGTCTTCTGAGCGTCTCGCATCGCCGGTACCCAGCCTGTACTGCTGACTTCTATATAGAAGTCGTTCTCCGGCATGATCGGGCTTCGCAATCCCGTTCTTAACGTGTCAAACGAAGAGCACCCTGTACTTATACTAACATCTTTCGTCCTGATCCTAGCATCCTACCCGCGCGACACACCTCCCCTTTGCACCCTCAAAAGCCCCGTGCACATCAATGCCAGATCTCGTAGCTTTCTTCATGTCAGTCAGAAGTTGCTTCGTTTGCGCATACGTCTTCCTGATCAGCGAAAGCAGAAAGATCATAACAACATTGATTCTACATGCATATTCTCAGCTCTCCCAAGCTGCCTATCGCCTTGCTTCATTGAGTAGAGACAGACTCCCAGGGGCGGACCCCATACCAAAGAGGTGCGAGCCATTTAGCTTCCCGTATCATGATAGCCTTGCACTAATGTAAACGTCCTAGGCATCCTTCGCTCCCTCCCATACATGCCCTGATCATAGGCATAAACACCTATCGATCCGATCTTATCACCGATCTCCGTGGGGCAGTGAATGATGCTGATGCCATGAACGACTACCTACGCAAGGAGTTGCACGTCCCGGCCAATCAGATAGTCAACTTACGAAACAAGCAAGCGACCCGGAAAGCGATCATCCGAGAGCTCCGAGCATTCCGCAAACGAGAGACCATCCAGAAGGGCGACCCTATACTCATTTACTTTGCTGGGCACGGTTCGACTTCCAGTGTTCCAGACGGATGGGCAGCAGCAAATGGCAAGATATCACTCCTCATGCCGTACGATAGTCTCTCCCGAAAGGTGTACGGTGCGACCATACAACCTATACCGGATCGTACCATTGGCGCGATTCTACACGACCTTGCCGAGGGCGGAAAGGGAAACAATGTGGTCAGTCTTTGTGCAACTCCCTTGATAGTATCTGACATTGAAATGGTCCGCAGACAGTGATCCTTGATTGCTGTCATTCGGGGTCTGGTACACGCGATCTCGACCCCAAGGCCCCGCTTCGCGAGCGAGGCATTGTACTGGATGAGAAATACAAGCTGCCGTCGAATCTTGACGTAGGCATTTGGAATGAGACCTCCAAGGACAGGGCTGTCTCCGTTGCCGAGGGGTTTTCACTCTCTGGAACGAAGTCGCATGTACTCCTTGCTGCTTGTCGCGAAAGCGAGAAGGCCAAAGAAGACGAGGATGGCGGGGTCTTCACTCGCTCGCTATTGAACGCCCTGCGGACATTGGAGCTTCATAAGACAACATACCAAGACCTGATGGAGCAGATCATCAATGTCCCAGGGTACGCTCTGCGCATTTCTTATACGTGTACCCCATTCATGTTCATGTTTGCCAGCCAAACCCCACAATGCGAAGGTCATTACAGCGACCGCATACTATTCAATGCCCTCGTGAAGAGTAAGAAGTCTCTTGTATACCCCGTAACGTCCGAAGGACAAAAAGTCATTATGGCTGCTGGCGCTATCCACGGCGTAACAGAGGGATGTCTGTACTCGATATACACGTCTCGCCACTCTGCGCCTGACTCCGAACCCCTGGCGGTCATGTCGGCTTCATCTGTCGGTCCCTTCAGGACAGAACTGTCTTGTAGTGACGCTGCCCGTGCGCTCGCCATTACATGGCCGTCTTCTTGCTTCGCCTTCCAGAGAACACGTTCTGATGGCCAAGCAGTGCGACTATACGTCCCGCACGGAGACAGTATCCCGCCGGTCATGGAAGCTCTGCAAGAGATGCATGAGCTTCAGCAGCAGACACTCAGTTTCGCTCTTCTGACGGGGAATGAGAACGAGGCGCACTTCGGTGTACGCCTGGATGGGCATCGGATCAAGTATCCTATATGCGACCCCTTGGTCACATCGTATGGGCTACACGCGTTCTATCAGACGACGAAGGCCAGGTCTCGCTACGTTTATCCCATTCTGCGGGCTGGGATCCATTTCTTCTGGCATTTGCATCACGGGCCGAAAAAGCATCAACTGCTGGATCACATTCAGCCCCAGATGTACGAGCTTGAGCTGGACGAAGACGGGGAACTCGGACTCGATCTTCGACGTCCGTATACGACGTCTGGGGGCAGCCTTCTGCAGTCGGGCCGTGTGGACATCACCGTGACAGACCAGGATCGGAGCGTCTACGGCATTGCTGTCCATAACCGACTCAAAGTGCCATTGCACGTCTGGGCCTTTTACTTCGATTGTAGCGATCTCTCCATCAGTGAGCTCCATCTAGTGGCAAATCAATACCAGCTGACACTTGATTAGACGAATACCACAGACCGACTGCCGTTGGAAGGGGCGCAGACGCGTCGCTTCCTGCTGAAGGCAGCCTGACCATTGGGTACGGCGACGGAGGTGGACGGCCCTTCACTTACTTCCTGCGGCCTGAGCAGGACGTAGATGTCGGCTTCATCAAGCTGTACATCTCAACGCACTTCGTCGACCTCTCACATATCGAGCAAGAGTCGCCCTTTGAGGTCGGGATGCCTCGAGGAAGCGAGATGACGGTGGAACACTTCGAAGGGGCATGGGATACTGTGTTGATCCCTGTGGTTCAACGTGAGAAAATCTCTGATTGAGACGTATCAGGTTCTAATCTTGATCCCCACAGATCGCTGACACCTCACTACGAACGGGATGGACAGAACCTGTACGAGATTTCTGAGCTTCTCCGTGGACAGTGGGTGCTGTATGTTACGACTCTCACGAGGCACAGTGCGCCAGCTTTAATGGTTTCATTCCGTACTTCCGAGGTTGTGTCACTATATACACCTTCACGCATGGAAAGGTCATGCCGTATTCGTGATGTCTTCGAGGTGGTGTAAAATTGTGGAGATTTCCAGCGGTCTAGATGATGGGCGTCTAAAGCAAGCTGCCTACACGTGCAGACGCGCGCAGAAAGACGCGCGTGAGTTCGACGCGTCCACGGTTTGCGCATAACCCCCACCTGCACCTCTCCGCCTCTCCTGCCTCCCTCTCGTACCCACCATGGCAGCCCAAATAGCAACAGGGACGTCTGAATTACGCGACATAACAAAAATGGAGCGCATAGGTTCGCACAAATACCCACTATCTGTGCGTGTGAACTCGCGTTGAAATGTTCGCCACAGGCGCGCACTCGCATATTCGCGGACTCGGGCTCGACGACAGGCTAGAACCTCGCGCAAACTCCCAGGGTATGGTCGGACAAGCCAAAGCGCGGAAAGCTGCAGGCATGATCTTGCGTATGGTGCAGGAGGGAAAGATTGCGGGGAGGGCTATGCTTTTCGCGGGTCCTCCTTCCACAGGGAAGACGGCTATCGCTCTGGGTGCGCAATATTACACTTGACTTCGTTGCCAATGTGGACTCAAATAACTGTATAGGTATGGCACAGACGCTGGGCTCGGACGTGCCCTTCACAATGATCGCCGCCTCGGAGGTCTTCTCGCTCTCCATGTCTAAGACCGAAGCCCTCACACAAGCTTTCCGGCGGAGCATAGGCGTACGCATCAAGGAGGAAACTGAGATTATTGAGGGAGAAGTTGTCGAGATCCAAATAGACCGTAGTTTGACTGGTGTACGTACCCTGTACCCACCTCCATTCACAAGAAGACTAACGAGGTCATCAGGCCACAAAAACTGGCAAACTCACGATCAAAACCACGGACATGGAGACTATCTACGACCTTGGTACCAAGATGATTGACGCGCTTACGAAGGAGAAAGTTCTCGCAGGAGACGTCATCTCCATCGACAAGGCGTCGGGCAAAGTCACGAAGCTTGGTCGTTCATTTGCGCGGTCGAGAGACTACGACGCGATGGGTGCAGACGTACGACTCACTCCTTGCTGTCAAAGCGAATGAAGACTGAAGTCACTTCTAGACAAGATTCGTACAATGTCCAGAAGGCGAGGTGCAGAAACGCCGCGAACTCGTGCACACCGTCTCACTACACGAAATCGACGTCATCAACTCAAGAACGCAAGGTTTCCTCGCACTCTTCGCTGGAGACACAGGCGAGATTAAGCCTGAGTTGCGCAACCAGATCAATACGAAGGTGGCGGAGTGGCGAGAAGAGGGCAAAGCGGAGATCATTCCCGGCGTAAGAGCCGCCCACTCTTTTACTCATATAGTTGGCTCAACCCAATCCTTAGGTTCTCTTCATCGACGAAGTGCATATGCTAGACATTGAATGCTTCTCCTTTCTCAATCGTGCACTCGAAAACGACCTCTCTCCGCTCGTGATAATGGCCTCCAACCGCGGCATGGCTCGCATCCGCGGCACAAAAACGCGCTCGCCACACGGTTTACCCGTTGACTTGCTCGACCGCGTCTTGATCGTCAGCACAAAACCTTACTCCGAAGACGAGATTGCCCAAATCATCCAGATTCGGTGCGAAGAGGAGGACGTGACATTGACGCAAGAGGCGTTGGACGCGCTCACGCGGATGAGCACGCAGACAACGCTGAGATATGCGTTGAATCTTATCAGTTGTGCTCAGGTGTTGGCAAGGAAGAGGAAGGCAGATAAAGTCGATGTTGAGGACCTGAGGAGAGGTTACACATATTTCATGGATGAGAAGAGGAGCGTGCAGTGGTTGAAGGAGCAGCAGGGGACGCTATTGTTTGAGGAGATCGATGATGAGAAGGATGGGGCGATGGACATGTCTTGATAGGCTTTTGTAGATGTATACTAGTGCTGTTGTCGCTGTGCTCTTGCTTCATGTTGTCATAACATCCCAGGCGAGTATCCCAGCTACGCGTATCAGGTGCCTGTGCTACAGCACGTACATGCACGTTGACACGATAGCAAACGCAGTCATCAGCTGTTCCCCGCGTCGTTCGGCCCGATGCACCGAAGGAGCTACGAACCGTCACACTTCAATCGTTGATTCTGGGTAACTCACTCGATGATGGCGTGCTGCAACGTTCAGAGTTATAAGCTAAGCGGTATGTATCTCAGGCATTGACCAATATACATAGGAAATCATTCACGATACATCAAAATAGTACAGGCAAAGTACAGGTCACAGTAGAAGAACAGGAAGTTCATGCTATGGCGGGACTTCAGACTGCCGTCCCCGGCGCATATTGATCAATGCGCCAGGTTATGGTGTCCACAAGCAAGTCGCGAAGTTCTTCTTCGTTGAGGATAGTCACCCTGCGCTCTGCGTCGGCGAAAGGCTTTGCTTGCGAGATCCCGGAGAGGTCGACGGGGGAGGACGTGACGAAGATCTTGATAAAGCCAACGTCCTTGGGTTGTCCCTCGCGCAAGAAGAAGGTCCACGGCCTATACCCAGCGTTTTGCGCGAACGCCAAGGCACCGTTGGCAGGAAGCACCGTCCACTTTTGCGAGTGGTCGGCTGAAAAGGAGATGCGTTAGATGAATGTCAAGGGTGTGTACTATGAAGCTGGAGTTGGGACGCACTGATGGACAGTTCACTGCAATCGAAATAGAAGATCCCAGAGACGTACAGGGTCTTGTCCGTCATGTTCTTGATGTTGATGCCGTATGTATCCTTTGGCGAGGGCGTGATTTTGACCAAGTTGTCGCACAGAAGGTTGGGACCGTCGGAGATCCACGGTTCCATCAAGTCGTCGTCCAATTCCGCGTCCTCGTCACGGATAATGCGGTAGAACTCGCTCGCACATTGTGCCTCCTTCGGAGCAACGTTAAGACGCAAAAGGTGGGCGAAGCGCATGGCACTCTCGAGTACGGCGAGTGCCGGCGCTTCCGACTCCGCGGCGTCGAGAGTGTAGTACAGGTCGACAGCACCGGATCCCGGAAGACCAAGGTGGTGCAGGCTGATGGCGATCTTGTCGTCGTCCTTGATACGGAGACGCAGGTCGGCGCTAGCCTCGTCACTGAGACGAACCGCCTTGTCGCCGCTCTGCATCCACTGCTGAACCTGCTTCTCCAGGGCCTTCATAGCGTCCAAGGCCTTGCCCGCGCTGTCCGGCTTGACGATATAGAGGTTGAGTGGAACGATGGCGCCCGCTTTGGGGCCAAAGTAGCGCGGTGTATGATTCATGATAGGGAAGGGCGAGTGTTGGAGGATGGAAGGAAGGCGGTGGGTTGCTGAGAGGAAAGCCGTGAGTGACAGGCCTTATATTGGGCAGGCGAGATAACCACACCTGCTGAAATGAGTGGTTGATGGCGCTGTCTGCAGTGGTTGGACATAATCAACCACCCGCAGAAACGAAGCGAGCCGCATGTCGCCGTCATAATGGAGAAGTCTTCCAGTCACATTCCAGATCACCGCGTGAACCACCCTGAACCACCACGAAGTTTTCGGGGGAAGTGCGAGCACGCATTCATAGCTACCAGGTATGGACGCCTCCCAGTAGAGAACTGGAAGGGCTGTATCGCGGGCGACGTTGGTGACCCAGGTTGATGACCCTTGGACCTGCGTTTCTTGCTACCTAGATGATGCGGAAAGAATGGGGCTTGACTCGAGAGCAGCTGCGCTTCAGGCCCTTCTTAACCACGGCGTCAGATTTTATCTTCGGTATCATCGTCTCCGAGTTCGTGTATAGACACGAGGGCATAAAGAGAGGGAAACGCGATGGAAGACTCGGAGAACGTGCTTGCCCACACATCGCGTCTCCCCTAGGCGTTTCTAAGGGGAGCGAGATGAGCATTGAAATGATGGTTCTCCTCGTGAGGCCTCTGCGGTAGTGCTTAACGTGCCTTCCAACCCTTCGAGTGGTTCGTTCGGCAAGGAGAGATCGGCGATGTCGCGTAAAAACCTTTCTGTGGATGGTTTCACCTGGTGTCCAGCGAGATGGTATAGGTATGCAGGGCCTTGGCGCAAGCATTTGATAGATTGGAGATCACTATGTAGTGAAAGGTAGCACTGTATCTGTGATGAGAGTGAAGAGCAAGGGGCTCGCCGTCCTTCGTTGGTCCTTCGGACGTCTTCGGACATTCTCGGAACTCGGGCCGACTTCGACGCGCCTGAGATGGCGCGCAGATTTGACCAGCGCTCACTAGTCACTAGCGCTCACTGCGCCGAGCCAAGACCAGCATGGCCTCTGCCTTTGATACATGCCTGTAAACGACGTCTACGGTGAAGTCATAGCAAAAGGGCACTCTGTTTCGGTATGTCGAGCCAATGAGCGCGCAGATACGAGAAAGATCACTCCCAATGGCCACCTGCCATCTTTCGACAGCTACTGTATCGACCGGCCGTGGTCTCCGGCGGTTCGTCCATTGCGGCTGCTGTACGCCATGCACTTATCAAGCACATCTCACGTGGGCGGTCACAGTACTATTTGCTATGCCATGTCATGAACGGAATCCGCCTCCCGAGTGTGTGCTCAGACCGGCCTTCGTGCGCCAGACGCCTCTGAGTCAGCCCTACCGATCCTACCTCCTACGCTGTTGGCACCGCTCTACGGTTTCAGCAACGTCTTGGCATCGACATACACGCTTCGCAGGTGTCGTCGAGAAGGAGTTGGCCACGGCATGATTGGCCTCCGTGGGAGCCGTTCGTATAGCTTGACGCTAGGAGTGCCTACAGCTGTGGCCGACGGATATTTCTGGCATCACGATGTGATGCTGAATACCGCCGTGCGCCAACTCGACGGGCGGGCCCGCTACGCGCTGTAGCCTGCCCCTATGCGGAATACACTGTCTTGCGGGATGTGCAGGCCGTTGAATGCACGTAAGACATTCAACCGGACATAGATCCGTTGTAGGATCCGGGTGGGACAGTGTACACCGCCTGCAAGTCGTGCATGCAGGGGCATTGTCTATATAATCCTGCTCGACGTGCTGGATGTACATCAGGTTCATACCCAGTCTCCTCAGACGTTCCCTGTTGTCCTCTCAACCTCTACCCTCTATATCGTACGTGCTCGCCTGCCATCGACGCGCGATGTCCACCTCCAACTCACGTACAACAACTTCACAGATCACAATGAAGTTCCTCGCCGTCCTCTCCGCCCTGGCCGCGTCCGCCGCTGCGACTGTCATCGTCCCGCGCGCGACGAACCCCGGCAACGCATCCATCACGATCTTCTCGCCCACCAACCTGCAGAACATCGGTGCGCCGGGCGATACCTTCGGCATCTCCATCGGCGAGTTGAACGTACGTCGCAACCCGATAGCCTTACAAATGTCACTCGCATCTAACGCTCTTGCTCTTCACAAAGGATGGTCACATTGGCTTCCAAGAGACCCAGCTCTCGCTCGTTCTCGGTATCAACCCCTGCGGTGACGACGACGTCTGCGGCGACAACCCTGCAGGCTTCTTCGGAGACGTGCTGTACCAAGGCATTCTCGAGACCAGCGACATGTTCATCAACGCGACTATCCCTGAGGGCTTCCTTGACGGCCGCGCATCGTTGAACCTGTTCCATGCTGCCCTGACGCAGACGCAGAACGGGCCGTTGGAGGTGTTCACGGAGATCAAGCAGGTCACTGTTGTTGTTTCGCCGGCTTAGGAGGGTAGGAGTTGGGCAGGATGGGATTGAGGATGGGAGTGTGGTAGTGATTGCTCGCTGTGTCTCACCTGGGATCTTGATCGGACTTGATACTTTATACTGTCGTTCATCGGACACTATTCAGATCGCACTGCTGTTATTGCATTGAAGCATAACTTGTTTGAGGCGTGAACATCAAGCGCGAGCATCTTGAATAGGTACATCGCGATATACCGTAGCAAAAGTGCTCTGGCTGTCGACATACGGTACCCCGAATTTCTTCCCATTCTCCGTACAATAACAATGCCACTCGCATACGCTCGTCTGCCTCGCGTCCGATGCTAGATTGAAGAGCCACACCGAAGGCTTGGCGGTACTATCGTGCAGTTTGTGCATCGTTCTTGAGAGTTCATGCGATTTGACATGGCGTACAAAGTGGGCAGCGAAAGCATGCTTCGGATGTGCGGGTAGAGGAAGAGTAGCGACTATCCCTCACGCCATTGATGCGAGCACGCAGTGCAGCTGCAGCCAAAAGATCAGCGCTTCCTCCAGCCAGCAATCATGATTGTAGACGTACCGAAGGACTGAATAAAAGGAAGGAGAGAAACGAGGCGAGTCAGCACTCAACAAAACGGATGAGAAAAGGCACGTACAAGTAGTCATAGGCTCGTCCGCCGAACGGATTTGAAGCTGGTAGTAGTAGGCTCGCTCGTTGTTGCACTTCGGACACGCATAGGCTGGCTCCGCCGTCAGCACAGATTCTCTTTCACGAAAGAAGCAACGCACCGTCCGTCGAGTCCGCGTTCTTCCACTGCTCATCTCCACCCAGCACGTCGTCCACCGCTTTCCGCTTCAAGTGTGTACGAGAGGTCATCTGCAGCCATAGTCGGGGATCAGCCGAGCTGTTGAGGGGATGCAAGGCAAGGACGCGCCTGCTTCGTGATGGGAAACTCGTAGGCGCAGGTATTGCAGGCCCATTTGTTGTAGCCCGTCTCGTTGTTGATGATGAGCAGGTTCGCGCAGGTCGGACAGAATAGCATGATGAGAGTGTACGAGCGTGTACGAGCTATGGAAAAGGGCAATGACGGTGGTGGTGGCCTGCGGCAAGCCGCGAAAAAAGCGTCTCGCACGCGGCCCGGGTGCCACAACTCTGTCCTCTGCTGAGGGGTTTGCATGCATTTGGAGACTAGTTGATCATGACCAGTCGTTGACCTGAGGATATCGGATTCGGAACAAGCGAGTTCAAGTTGCACGCACGATACAAAGTACACGATGATATGATAAGGGGTTATAAGCTATACAGTCTTCGAAGTCATGTATATACGCCTCGTCCACCTCCGTCTCCTCGTCGCGCCCTTGCTCACGCCGCCCATATCCGGCTGCTCGACATGCGGCTCAAGCCATACATCGTTCGTATACACCCACCCATCTAGATTCTCTGCATTAGCGGGTTTATCCACAAAACGGATGGTGCAATAGCACGTACGGTCATCGGCGCCCACGCCACTCCATCCGCCCTCGGTATCTGCCCTCCAATCTTCCGTCTCAACAAATGCCCAACCAGGGTCAAGCTCGAACGTCAAATTGCTACTACGCTCGCATTAGCGCCCATCCACACACGAACATACTTGACATTCGCTACGCACCGCACATCCCCGCCATTCAACGCGCTCCATCCATCCCTTCCTCTCGTCCACGCCACACGCTCTCCCTGCTTGAGATTACTCTTCGCCCAGCTAGGGGGATCACCGCCTAACCGCTCGTTCTCGAATAGCTCAACTTCTCTGAGCGGTGCGGTCCAGATTGTGTCGTCGAGCTTGTCGTCGTCGACTATCCTGTCGATTCTTGCGCGAAGACGGCGAAGGAAGGGCGCGGACGCGCGAATGAGATGTGGGAGAGCGTGAATTGTCAACGGATGCGTGAGCGCAAAGGGCGCCAGACCGATGACAAGAAAAAACGGGCGGAGCGGGATCAGCGGCAGCAGTGGGAGAGTGGCAAGTGTGAGGATGAGAACGAAGGTAAGGATGTGTGGCGTGTAGGGCGTCGAGTGGGTGAGGTGCGGGACGTAGGGGAAGACGGCGTCGTAGAGGTCGGCAAAGGCGCCCATCAGGTTCTGGATGCCTTGGATGTTGGCCAGCCATTCGGCCGAGCCTTCGCGCGCGTTGGCTTTGGGCGGTGGAGCGAGCCCGTCTGGTGATCGGTCGTCCCCGGAGGGGTAGGTCGCTGCTAGTGTCGCTATCAGGACGGCATTTGGGAGCAGTAGTAGTAGGCGCGGGTAGTAGCCTGTCGCCGGATCTATTCAGATATGGCACGAGTGCATGAACTAGGGATACGTACAGAGGAAAGCATAGATGACCATGAACGTCGCCGTGAACTTTGTGCCCTTCCTCCAGAACACGATCTCCTCGACCCGATCCTGGATCCAAAAGACCGGCCCAACCTTCGATATAAACCGCCTAAAGTTGGTCGTGGTGATCGGCACGCTCAACGGATCGCGCGTGCTCAACAGCGACACGCTGCCCTTCGGATTGGCCGGCAGCTGCACGCCGGCGGGTATCTGCAGCGCCGAGTTGAGAAGGACGCCGGGGACATTTGAGAATACGGAGCGGCCGGGGGAGAAGCCGGATGTGGGCGACGTCGGGGGCGATTCGGACGTCGGGGAGGTCGGCGGGAAGGAGGACGTCACGGTCGTGGATTGGAGCGTCGGCGGTGCCTTCTTCTCCGTCTTTGGGGTAGCCTTTGGTGAGGGCGCAGACGGCAGGAGCGTCGCGTAGGGCGGGACTTCGATGTAGTCTGGCAGCGACATCCTGGCCGGAGGAATAGGGGCACTGGATGATTGTAGCAGTTCCTGTCAGGTTTGTAGTACCAGATATAGAGTTGGGATGGCTATAAGAGCATATGTGGGTGACAGGATCGGTATGGAAGCAGGAAGCAGCCCTCAAAGAAACACGTGTGAGCGCGTCCACCGTCAACGTCGATGACGAGCGCCTGTTTTAGCGTTGTTGTTGGCACGCGTCGACCGCATCAGGTTGTGGTCGACTTGGATTCGAACCACGACCTGGCCTCGTTTCGCGACACCTCCTCCCTTCTCCCGACTTTCTTCTTGATTATTCTCCTGATTCTACTCGACGGTCACGATGTCGACCGTCAGCACGCTGTCGATGACGGCGCTTTCCTCACCTCTGGTCAAGTCCCTAAACAAACTCCTCGCCGGCCTATCACTACCCTTCGCACTCGAAACACCGTTGGACCTCACCCCATCTCTACTCCTCGCTATACTTGAAAGTCTTCTCGAATCTCGTCTACCTATACCTTCAAGGGTGCGCGACTCGCGTGACCAGGCCTCGCGTGTGCAAGCTTTGAAGATATTTCTGGGAGTGTTGGAGAATGATGTGATCAAACAAGGTATGTTGCGCTTGTCAGAGTGTGCTGGGTACATGCTAAGCGTCATGATAGACGTTGGTCTCAGCGATATAGACCCTCGCCGGCTGGCCGCGGGCGAATGGGAAGAAACAGTCTTCATCGGCGAGCTGCTCGTCTGGCTCGGCAAGCAAATGGGCTTCCTGCGTTCCTCCCGAGGCTCAGTATCCAGCGCTGGATCTGCGCCTCCGCCAACACATGCGCACATTCCTCCCGCAAGACGGGGCAGCGTCACTTCGGCGCCCGGGTCTTCGCGCTCGAGTACACGAGGCAGCGCCCAGCAACCGCAGCCGTCCGCAAGCGCCCACCAACGTCAAATCACAATTTTGGACGAAGAGGACGAGCGCGAACAGACGCAGTTCTGGTCGCCCGAAAGTACACGCACCTCGCAGTCTTCGGCGTATTCCTTCGCGCAGTCGGAAGACGAAACGCGCACGACGGTGGAAGAAGAGTTGAACGAATCTGTCTCAAGCTCGCAGTCGTACTCTCACAAGGACCAACTCCGACACGTCCCGAGATGTATACACGAGGTCGAAGATTCGTTTTTACTCGGCTCCACATACGGTGGAGGGCTGGACCATGATGCGGATTCGACGCACGAGTGGGAGGGCGAAGAGTTCGGGCGGGAACCGGGCCAATGTTCGTTCTGCAGCCATGATGGTGCGGCTGGCGAAGAGTCGGGATACAGGGTGCCGCCGGTTCAGCGTGCAGGGAAGCCGCGGTCGGTTCGATATGAAGGGTTTATCGATGAAGTCGATGATGAGGTGGAGGTCAGGGCGTTTGAGTCGAGGACGGGGAGGAAAAACCCTTCTGTACGTATGCACCCCGTTCGCACTTGGAGTATAGTTCTGAGCTTGTCCATAGACTGTCACGCCACCCACTCGTCGAGTCGTTACGCGGCATACGTCCCCCTCTCAGCATACCTTGGCATTACTCAACGAGCGCGCGCGATTACTCTCCGAACTTGCTCGGTTGAACCTCAAGTCTTAACGCGGCGACACAATACGAGGGTCTTCTATGGAGGCGTTCGGCAGCAACGCTACGTTCGCTGACTCGCCTGATCGTGTCGATATCCTCGCGCCACGGCCGAGCGGGCAAGAGACGAAAGAGCCCAACGAGGCCGCTCTCCAATCCAGCTCTCGCCGATCCATATCCAGCTCCATACCTCGCCTTCTTGTCCGACGGTGCAACATCACGTGCCCGTGCCGCCGCCCCCTTCCCACGCGAGACCCCATACGAACGGAAGGAAAACAGCAACAATAGACGATGTCGCGACCTGGATCGCTCGCCTTCGAGCAGCCGACCTGCGCGCGCTCTCGGATCCTTGCCCTTCACAAGATCAGGGGTTCCATAAGCATCTCAAAGCCGGGGAGTGCGCTTTGGGCCAGAGATCGGACTATCACGGTCCCTCGGTACAAATAGGCACGGAGCGGGTATGACGGGACGCCTGCTCATCCCAGTTCTTCCCAAGGAGCTCCTGCTATATCAGCTCTGCGCCCGCGCTACCGTACGGCGTAACGACATCGCCTCGCCACCAGGGCCTCTAGCGCCGACCCTCGCCAGCCTCATCAGCGCTAGCATCGCGCAGCTTGGCTCTATCGCTATCTTCTCTTACATATAACGCGCCCCTAGTTCTTGTCTACGCTCCCGCTATCCTAGTACTCGCTTTCTGTATAACTACCTTGCCCTCCTGAGTTTTCGCATTATATCATCGCACGCATCATGCAGTCTGCACCCGAACTCAATGACGCTCCCGCGCAATGCATTGCCAATCCTCCGACGAGTCTCTTGGACAGGGCTCCCGCGCAGTCGACGTTGACGGTATCTACATCTACCCCGCCGGTGTCTTCGCGAGCGCATAGTATGCCTTCGATACCCCGCCATGCACGATCGCGGCCCAGTTTGACGCACGCGAGCTCGTCCTCGCTCGATTCGATCGAGGAGGACGTTCCGCTCTGTCTGACCACGCGCTCTGCGTCTCGCGCGCCAGCATCTTCATCAGGATCTCGCTCCGCGTCCTCGCAGAGACGCAAGTCCGCAGCACTGAAGGAGTCGTGTGGGATCTGGTCCGTCGTCTCTTGCGCACGCAACTCGATCCTCGTTCCTGACATACCCGCCAGCTTCGAAAGCACGGCGATGCGCAACCCCGACGTCGCGCGCTGCTGCCTCCAGATGTTCTGTCACGAGCACCTCGCAGACGTACGCCACATCATCTCCTAGCACCCTTCCCTAGCTGATCTGTTTACTAGTGGCTGAAGCGGGACAGCCGCTGTCCGGCCTGTGGCGAGCCGCTCACACTCGAACGGGGCACCGTCGCGCTGCGCGCTCCCACGCGTACGGCCAAACCGCCCGCGCTGGAATCAGGGCGGCTCACCGCTCGACCGCGGAGTCGGAATGGCACTACTTTCCTCATCGCGCCGAGCTCTGCGGGCGGCACTTCGTCTTCGTCGGACGGTTCAGGCTCGGATGGGGAGGAGAGGGGGAGTAGGAGGTGCAGGACGTCGTTGCAGATGGTCGTGGTGCGCCCGCAGTATAGCAGCTTGAACGAGCTCGCGGCGGAGCTTTTGCCGTTGAGAGCTGTTGGGGTGCTGCTAAGTCTGACGGGGTGCGCGCTCATGGTCAGTGTCGTGCTCGCTTGAGCCGAGGTAGACGGATGCGGAAGGAGCAGTGTATGTTATTGTTCGCGCGGGGGGCGGATGACCAGTGATTCCCGCTGGGCGCAATGAACTGGCTTATTGTAGGAGTAGATGCATGCGGTGTATTATATTGTACAGTACCTTTAGATGGAAGCGATGGACTTAGATATGGTAGTCGGCTATGTATAGCTCGACATACCGTGCACGCGAAGAGGATCTGCATCTACACAGCCCAATGAGAGCAAGGCAACGACGCGAGCATCCCGCGGTCCAGTCAGAACTTCCGATCCTTCTGCGCCTGGAGGTGTGTGGCGAGGCGGGCGCTTAGATGCATCAAGTAGCTACAGAGCAGTGCGACATGTACGTAGAGAACGCTGCTGAGAGCGCGAGCGGTGGGAACTTGAGCCGCCCAGCGGTGCCGCCGCCCAATGAGCGCGTCGCGCCCTGTCGCGCCTCTTGCCCCCGGTTCTCATGGAACTTGGCAGGCGCGCACAAACGATGATCTCGTCGTCCGCAGCCCACGCGGCGACCCAACCAACCGGAAACCTCGTAGCCCTGCAACGACGCCGCTGATGCAACAACCTTTTGCGCTCGGCGATCGCGGCAATGAGCCAGATGTCGTACTTACATGAGCGGGCGAATGACTGAAGAGAGGCTTCGCTTCGCCCGCCGTCTTCTTTCCTCTCGAGCGAGCTTGCGGTTCGGTTCCTTGGACTCTCGTTTCATTCATTCAACATTCTTTTTCGCTGGTAGCTGGGCTTACATTCCTTTTGCGTTGCGCTGGACGCTAGACTACTTACCGTTCAACTCGCTCCCCTCTTACGTTCTTTAGACTCGACATGCTCGCTGCCTTGCTTACTTTCTGCTTACTTATTGCCGCACATGTCGACGGTGCCGCTATCCCAAGAGTCCTGAAGAGAGATGAAGTGCAGAGGCGGGGGAGCTTTACGCTGCCGCTGAAGAGGCGGGTCGTGCCGAGGACGGCGTCAGGAATGCAGAGGCGCGGCGCGTACAGCGGAGTGACCGGTTTAGGCGACTTTGCCGATCTGTACGTGTCTGATCTGTTTGTTATGTTCAGATGCTGATTAGACACTACAGATTCTACTCGGTACCGATTACAATAGGCTCAACAGAGACGTCCGTCAACCTCGGTGCGTCATCCGTTCATTCCGAGTAACTGCATTCCCTGAACGGGCTGTCGCAGATACCGGTTCCTCTGATCTCTGGGTCGCCACATCCGACTGTCTTGCCTCCTCTCCGGCATGTGCGGCATCCAACACATTGCAACCAATCACGTCTAAAGGACTCGCACTACCTGCGGGTCTGACGGCTTCACCATCCGTCAACCTCTTATTTGGCGACTCCACGACTGGCACACATGCAGCAGGGCCCGTCAATGCAGAGCCTGCGTCTATCGCAGGATTGAGCATGGACACACAGGTGTTCGCTGCTGTTAACGACACGGACAGCAGTGCCATCACCGGAGGGTCGAGCGGCATCTTGGGCATGGGCTTCTTCGAGGCCAGGTGCGCGTTTATCCGTCAGACACAGCGTGCCAATACTAACTCAAATCATAGCCAAGTACAAGCTGCCGTAGTCAACGACAAGTTCAACTCGCCAGAGACAACCGACCAGTTCATCGAGGCCGCAGCAACCTATGGTCCCCTCACCACGCGTCTCGCACTATCCGGCCAACTCGAACAACCCATGTTCGCTCTCATGTTGCAACGCAACACCATCGACGTCTCCGGCGACAACGGAGTCGTCTCTGTAGGACGTCTGCCCGAAGGCATCGATAACTCGAGCTTGACTTGGTTGCCCGTTCGGCTGTACACTCCCGAGGAGGGCGGACTGAACCCGCCCACCTTCGCGTCGGACGAGGTCTACCCGCTTCGTTGGGAGGTCCCGCTGGACGCTGTGTATATCGATGGCAAACAAGTGGAGAACAACGCAGGCAAGAGCGTAACTGCTCTCATTGATACAGTGCGTTGACGGTCCACGTATGCTTCTCACTCTTCACTGACTCCGATCCGAGGGCAACTCAATCCTGCGCGGACCTGACGCAACCGTCTCCAAGATCCTGTCCACCGTCTCCCCAAACGCAACCAAGACCGGCTCGCCCACCTTCCCTTGCGCCGACGCACACACCCTCTCGTTCCAACTCGGCGGAGTGAACTTCCCTGTCGACCTCGCGCAGAACCAGACGGGCGATGCGGAGACGTGTGTGGCGAGCAGGATCGTTTCGACGGATGCGCCGAGCACGGGCTCGCTGTTCAGCTGGAGCTTGGGCGACCCGTTCTTCCGATCGTATGTCTGTCCCAGTGTATCATCTCCACTCGAGTGACTGATTCACGATACGCTCTCAGCAATCTCGTCGCGTTCTACTACGGTAACCTCACCCATCCGTCCGTCGACCCGCCTCGCATCGGATTCCTCTCGATGGTCCCCACCAATGCCTCCGCCGAGCTCGCAGAAGCAGTATCAGACGCGCAGGATAACAATGGCAACTTCGAGAGCACTTCGCAAGCCGCGTCCACGGCTACAGCCGCCGCTCAATCACTTCTTATCAAGGAGAACGTAGCTTCATCGACGTCGTACCCGGTGACGGAGACCGCCACGGTCACTGTTGCTCCTGCGAGCGAAGTCGCATATCCGACGTGGACGCCCAGTGCGCGGAGTAGCAGCGCGAATCTTGCGAGTGCTACGGGCTCGACGAGCGCATCGGGCACGGCGGGGACGTCAGGCACGACGGATACGACGGGTACGACGACGACGGTCACGGCGGCGTCAGGAGCCGAACATAGACGGACAAGCCCCTTGATCTTCGTGGGCGCGTCGCTTTGGGCGCTCTATCAAATGCTACTATAATGTGGGATCGAGATCGATGGATCATGGACTGTGAGATGGACATTTGATGGACTGAGCCCCGCGTCGGACTTCTGGTTTGCGTATCTATTACACTACTGGGCGCATTGAACAACAGTCTTTTTTGTTTGGATTGCGACGGCTCTCACCGATGGGCCGTGCTGTAGCGGTGTTGTGGGCTTCTGGCGCTGACGCTGCACAGGTATCGCGCTCGAGGGGTCTGAGCCCTGGAAGGGCTTACAAAAGGCACCAAACTCGTCTGGTGGACATACCTTGTTGGGGACATGAGTCGCCGCGCCTTTTCACGGCCATTTGTATGCTCGTGTCATAGCTGCTTGACTCGTCGCCGTCGCTACGATTGCTGACTTTAGTGACGCCTCACCGGAAGACGTGCAGATCGATACGTGCCGATGCCTTCCTCATTGATATCTAGCGAAACGCGACGTCGTTCAGACACAACAGCGTCACCGCCGGCCACCAGGCATCGAATATATCCCTATGGGCGTCGGATTGCACCTTCCGGTATACAGGACAAGCTGCCGCATGCGCAGAGGAAACGCTTCCCACGACTATTGTCTCTTGTCCGGATTCGCGCAACTGCTTGTTTTCGGGTTCCCAGATGCGGGCTGGCCTTGTTGTTTCGGTTGGTGGGTCCTTGTGAAGTCATAACAACGATGATCTAACGCGCTGAACAAGGTCCAACAACTTGCCTAGGCGCCGCTGTGGGCATATTGTACATAAGAAGTACGCACCTTCTTCCGTATGGATCCCCACCCCCACCCCCTACGTTCGCTTGTCTGGTCCCGTCACGATTCCACCTCGCTGGCCGAGGCACGATCCGTCTAGATACTCTCGTTGCAACGCTCCTTTCACCTCGCCGCGCTACCCAAGGCTCGCTTACTATATCCCCAATAAAACCCCGCCTTGTGAGTAAAAGCTTCCGTATCAGTCTACAAAGCTGAACTTTCAAGTAGAGGTCCAATCCCAATGACGCAAAAGATCTTGCGTACCCAGGCTGTCGAGTTCGAGCCTGCTGTCATCGCCCCCGAGCGATCTGACGGCGATCACGGTTCTGACAACTTGCCGAACAACATCGTCAATCGTGGTGGAGAGAACGTCAATCCCGACAAGGTGCTTACGAAGTTCGGCTGGGAACGACTTGTGTCGCCGAATGTGCATAGCGTCTTACACGAGGATTGGTGGGGCGCTGAAGACTTCATGCCGGAGGAACTGATTTCAAATGTTCGGCAGAATTGGGTGAAAGGTCTGCAATCAGAGCTTCTCTCACTCCCGCTTATTCTGACAGTACGATTCGGCAGCGGTCGAAGAGGGTCCGAGTCGAGTGTTTGGCCTGCCAGAGGCCCTGAAACAACTGGGCGTCTTGGACGCGGATGGCAAGCTGCCCAACTGCGATTGCATGGTTGTTGAGATGGCCGATTACAGTGGATTTGGCCCCCTGAGAGAGTCTGGAGGAGCCCTTCACCTGCGGCCTGAATACGAAAAGCTCTGGAATGACATTTGTCGGGTCAGAGAGAGCTTCGACGGCGTCTTCGTTGCAGGGCACTATAAAACGGGTGCGCCGGCGTGACCCAGGAGAAACTTTCATAGCCACTCACACTGACATGCCTTCAGGGAAAACGTACGCTATGGTATACCTATTGACTAATTTCCTCCGTCGGTCAGAACCGGTCCTCTTCCGGTCGTCCAAGGATCTCTACATACTCTTCTTGTCGCATGGAGCTTACAAACTGCGCGACTCTGAGCGCTGGGATGAGGACTATGTGGAGCGATTGCATCATCTCGTTCCATCTCGTAGGATCACGGCGTTGCTCAAAGACGTCGATACTGAAATTGTCCCATCCTTTCTTCAACGTCCCATATTCTACCCCGTCATTTTTGGGCGTCCGAGACGGTGGAAAGATGCCGCCCAGTTTGGATTCTTCCTCTATGTGATGGCCCCGCCGTCTCCCCGAGAGATCATAGCTGAGTACGTCCTTCGCGTAATGCGCACTAACAGTCAGGTACTGAACGGGCGACAGGGCGTTAATCCAAAATCCAGGACAGGAGACTGCGAAACGCGGAGATGTCGGTGTGCTCAATAACCTAGTGAAGGCTCTCACTAGTTTCGGTGCAAACCCGTTCTTTGTTTTTCAGGCCGCTCTGAAGCCAATGACCTCCACGTGGATGCAAGACCTGGATGGCTATATCGACACCCTCAGTTTGAATCAGCTGAAAAAGCTTCTGAAGTCGTGTCCTGTCTTGGACAGCCAGAATCCCTGCTCACCTTCTACGCTACCGCTTGCGGTTCATGACGCTCTCATCACCGTCAATCGCCTCGAGCTCCCGCCAACAGACTCTGACGTGAGCCAGTACTTTGCTCCGTCGATCGCATCTCCCTACATTTTTCACCGCCTGCGTCGACGGATGGTAGCATTGCAGAGAGAAGAGACCCGCCTCATGATGCAAACGTTACTAGGAGTAGGTGGCCTGCGCACTGCGGGTGGGATCATGTTTGAGAGTCTCATGCATCACCTGCTGTCGTCCTGTCCCTCGGATTGGCATGCGCTGAAGGATTTCAAGCTGGTGGAGTTCTTTCCTTGGACTACTATCTGGAACGCGAAAAAGGCTCGCAGAGCGGCGTGGCATCTCGAGGTTTCGCACATCGTCCAGAAGCGCGAGGAGGACTTGTACGACAGCGTGCATCCTCCTCCTTTTGATTCGGCAAAGTACTACGTCCCCCAACTTGTCAACAACGCAACATTCGACGCAGTGACATACGTCCGCATCAGACGTAGACGCGCTCCAGCTCGAGCGAGCAACAGCTCCGCGACGTCGAATCATCCGAAGCCGTCTCCGGCGCCTACGCATGCATCGTTCACACCTCCGACCGCGACGCGGCCGCAGTGGCAAGCGAGCCCGCCGGGTGGTATCCCCGACGACAGAGGCTCGGAGGTCATCGTCTCTACGACTGGTGTCCGGACTGCTTCCCAAGCGGGCCTCGACAGCGTTCCTCCACCGAAGAAACGGTCAAATGACGATTCGGCAAGAGTGAAGGTAGCGATTGCTCTGCAGATGACAGTGGCTTCCACGCACAGCTTAGCTGAAAGTGGCCTGGAGAGGTTGGCGGCCACATTCGATCAGAGCCACGAGTGGGCCTTCGTCTACGTCATTCCGCATAGCACGATATGGAACTTCACCACCATGCAAACCCGGATCGCCAAACTCCACAAGAAGAAACCAAACTTGAAACTTTCGAAGTATCGATGGTATGTGCTGACGGCCAACGTGGACATCGAGGGATTGTCAGGTGACGTTGATGAGGAGGAGGGAGAGATTGAAGAAGATGACAGCGATACCGACGGCGAGGGTGGAGAGGGGAACGAAGAGGGGAATGGAGAGAGAAGAGACTCGGAGACAGCGACGGGAACGGAAAAGACAAACGATTAAGCTAAGAGTGCGAGAGTCCGACCCAGAGGGGGATACTGTAATAGATTTGCATCATCATTTTTATACCTAATGAGAGTACGACGCCGAAGGGGGTGCTTTCACAGGAGCGCATAGTGAAAGCGAATGGCAAAGGCCAATTGTGTGCGTGCGAGCACTCGTCGTCCTCATTGAAGTATGTAGCTTCATCTTTTGAGACAAACTCAGACTGGGACATGATCATGATGCATATCAAAGCATCGATATATATATATACGGAGATTACATGGTTACATGGGGGCCGGCAAACTCGGCAAGCGTGGGCATATATACTGCAACTTGTATCACGGCAAGCACCACTTTACGCATCCTCGTCAGAGGAGTCATCACTGACGTGTATGAAGTGGCCTCCGTCAACAGTGACGTCCATGGAAAGGTGATACCACTTCAAGCGGTTGATCCAATGAGGTGGGATGATACTGAGATCCAGGACTGCTTCCTTCGCCGTGACGAAGACGTAGTAGTATTCTGCATCAGCATCTCTGAGCATAATGTCCTCCAGTTGTCTGAGGCCATCGTTTGTTAGTTCAGGGGAAGTGCCACAGATAATCTGCATAAAGATGATGAAACGCCGATCCGCAGGGAGTTTGCGTCGCTTGGTCAAACGGTCATCCACGACCTCAGCGGTCCGAACACGTGGTCGTAGTTTCCGCGTTTGATCGGCAGCCACTGCAGGAGCAACACGATCACCAGGCTTGCGGGACGCCTGATGAGGACGCGCATGAAGTAGGGCGTGTAATGTACCGTCCGCCAGCGTCTCAACGATATGATAAATCTCAGGATCGAAGGGACACATCGCTCGGACGTCGAAAGTCTCCAGCGTTCGAGATACACACAGATGGGCCATTTTCAATGCTCCTTTGCGCTTGGAAGCCCCGTCGGGAAAACATTGGGAGAGCGTGGTGCCAGGGAGGGGCTCGGGCGACTCGCTTGATAACAACGCGTGGCAGAGGTGTTCGAAAAGCCACGTTCTAGTGTCCAAAAACCCGTCAAGCGTTCGCCGAACGGCCTCCATGTTTTTGAGAATTGATAGACCCGCGAATCCATGGGATGTGCTAATCTCGCCAAGGATGTGTCGGGAAGCGATGACCGGTAAACATGCTTCAGCCGGCGTCATCTCTCGTCTCAACAAGACGATATCAGGACCTTCCCCGGGACGCGCAACCTTCACTTGGGACCGGGATAGACGGGCACGGTTCGCGAACTCTGCCAGTGATTTTGTGGTCAATCCCGAGATATACTCTCGCAGCTCAGAGCGCAGTGTAGAACTGTCTAATGAAAGGCTGGAGCGTAAGTTAATCCCTGCAACACGAAGGCAAGTCATGAGCTGTTGTAAGCACTGCGTTGTGGCCTTGATATGACATTGCAGAGTTGCGCTGCAAAGTAAACTCAGTAACTATACATTTGATATGATCCAATCAGACTCACGCAGAGACCACTGAGCGGGCTGGAAGTGGGTCCAGAACTAGTCTATTCGATCCATTACTGCCGATCCACCGCTCGTAGTGATGCGAGTTGGGAGGATACACGCGTATAGAGGAGAACATCATCTCCGGTGGTCCGAAAGTGTCACGCTCTTTGTCGACGTCTACAAGCACTACGGGACGGCCCTCGATAATCCCGCAGAAATCTGAACAGGAAGAGAGGTCGACGTTTAGTGCTTCGCCGGAGTAAGCGCCCAATGGGCAAAAAAGCACGACGTGTTTGCCAGTAAAGAAGATTATATTTTGTCGACGGGATAGAGCGTGTGCCAGTATAAAGTGCGAGAGATACGATCTGCCTGTATCGCACGTTAGCAATCAACACGCCTTAAGCTTCATCAAGACTAACCGGAACCACTTTGCCCGGCTATGACCGAATCATCGCAGCCACTTCCGCGAGTGTAGTCTGCAGTCCGGGCCTCCAGACGCTCATACTCATCCGACACCATGATTCTTCCATCGGTACGCGCGAGACTGACTTTCCACGGGGTCTGCAGAAAGGTGCATGATGAAGGAAGGGTATCGTCGGGACCGTTCAGCACACCCACGGCCTTAGCCAGGTCTACTAGTGGAGCATTCCGTTTGAGCGGCCTCAACGCTAGCACGCGCAATCAGACACTTGAGGGTGAGAGAGACAATTGTCCGGACGTACCGTCACTCCATTGCTTCCACATAGCCTCCTCCTGCAACTGGATATCGACACCCCAAAAGGCCTTCCAGGCATCTGAGTGCTCCCCCTCAACGACTCGGATAAGTCCATATCCTCCCAGCTGTGCCTCTTTCCCTCCGGGACCGTCAGACATGTATGAAGGTTACGAAGCACGGCTAATGGGCCTGCCGGCTTGAACGAGGTTATGAAGGTCGAGTTCAACATTATACTCTCAAGTTCAACCTTGGTGTGAACCAGCGTGATGGCGAAAGCATCATTACGTCATCAAGCCTCTCGGCTGCCGCGCTCCCTTCGGCGTTTGCCGAAACGGTTGCTCCCTCTGCGACCGCCGACCGAGTGCAGCTCATTGTGGTTGCAGCGCTACGGCAAACCAGTCGCTACAGACAGCTCGGGCGTGCAGCGTTGCGATGCAGCGGGGTCTGCATCGCTGCGGTACACCGCTACATACTGCTGGAATGCTCTGGCTTCTCGATAGATGTGCCGTTCGAAAGAGGATGTTGGTTGTGAGGTAATTATATTCAGCGCGATCCCTAGTAGTAAATTCACCAGTCCCTAATGTCAACGCTAACTTTGTACCAGAGTAAACGCTTCGCCCAAACTTCGGGTATCATGCTCAAGTCGAGGGAGCGGCCTTTGCCAGTGACGAAAACAAAGGAGTATTCGGCGTCGGCGTCGGCATCCATGTTGCGTTTCAAGCGATCAAGGCCTTCATCAGTCAAACCATGGACTGATGACGCAGTGACTTGAAGAAAGAGAACAAGACGCCTATCCGCGGAAGGTTTGCGTTTGCGCCCTATTCTTTGATCAAGTGCATAAGAGACCTCAGTGCGTGGACGCAACTTTCGTCTTTGCTCAGGGCTCGCAGCATGCGGCGAGGCTAATCTGCCGATTCTGGACGTGCTGTCAGGCTGTGCGTACACGACTGCATGGAAGGTACTGTGCACGAGGGGCCCGATGACGTAGTAGCTGGAGGGAGCGAGGGTGGATGGAAACTCGCCGGTTGTTACCTCCAAAGTGCGTTTTGAACATATATGTGATATCTTCAGGGCACCTCGACGCTTCGAAGCGCCAAAGGGAAAGATCTGTTCCAATTGGCACCGAGCGAGGTGTTCCACAGAACCCTCAGACAGCAGACAATGGGCGATGAATTCGCGCAGCCAGTGACCAGATTCTTGATATCCGTCAAGTTCGCGTTGCACTACATCCATGGAGCGCAAGCCGGAGAGACCGGCAAGGCCATGTAGCCGAGCAACCTCACTGAGCACGAAACGAGAGGCGATAGTTGGTATGAACCCCTCATGCGCAGCAATGTCGCGCTTTAGGGAGAATAGGTCAGGACCAGCACCTGACCGCATAACCTCCTGAAAATGCAGACCAAAGCTGGCTTTGTGCGCCAACGTAAACAGATGGGCGGGAGATAACCCTGTGATGTAATCTGCAAGATCTGTACGCATGATGAGGTTATCCGAGGCAAATGTCCCAAAACTTCGGCCAAACATATGAACATTCTCGAGAATACGTCGAAGATGAGGCCTTGTAGGCTTAACGTCGAAGCGTACGGTCGCACTGGGATGCGTTAGGATCCGCCTCGTGGAGACTATAAAGACGCTACTGACCTCATAATCAGGGACTCGACAGTTGGCACATCCAATACCAAAACGGCGGGTGATTTATCGTGTATATAATGCTCGAGGCTAGGTGAAGAGGCGGAAACAATGCGAATGCAGTACATGACGCCAGCCGATGGGACATGGAGAGCCCCGTCTTCGACCACATCAGAAATAGCCCAGGCTTCGCCTCCGATGGCCGAGTTGAAGTCATCCAGACTGAAGAGGTTCAATTCGAGTGTTTTGCCACTGTACACGCCTTCCGAACAGAATAAAACGACGGAACCATCCAGATGGGCGACCACGTTTTGTCGAGAGGAAAGGCATTGCACCAGAATGTAATAGGCCAGGTATGTCTTGCCTATTGCCGGTGAGCAAAACTCAGAATACGAGATAACCACGCGCCGCACCTGTGCCAGTTTGCCCTTCGATAACTAAGTCTCGACATCTCTTCTCATTCCGCAGACTGACAGCCCTGTCGCAAAGACGACGCAGCTCGCTATTAACCACAATCAGTCCCCGACTCCTATCCAAAGAGGACTTCCAGGGGGTATTGACGATCGTCGTGGGGGGGAAGGCGAGAGTTGTTGAGTCTTGCTTGAGCCCTGTAGCCCGTGCCAAGGCTGTCAACTCGGCATAGCCTGCAGGTGGCTTCAGAGCTACGATTGATTTAAGAGATAGTCCTGAGACAGTCCTGATACTAGGATCATAAGCTTACCGTCAACCCATGGCTTCCACATCGGTCGCTCCTGCACGACAATCTCTTCTCCCCAGAAGGCCTTCCATGCTTCGAAATGCTCTCCGTCGGTGACTGGAGTAAGCCCATAGCTCTCAATGGGCTCGAGATCCGATTCTGAGCCGTCAGACATGAGACTAGAGGCAGTCGAGGTGATGGCAGAACGAAGGCACTGTGACGGGACGCGGCTCTTCGAACGTTCATCACGGGCCCGGCCCGGGCAATCCGGTACTCGATACGCTTCGACTGGACCACTCTCACGCGGGCCATATGTCATATCAAGCGCGATCCCTAGTAATATCTTCACTACTCACTACTTATAGATACATGTCCCAGAAACTACATGTCACTGTCAATGGAGAGATGGTACCACTTGAAGCGGTGTAACAAGAAATCAGGGATGGTACTGGGATCTAGAACTTCGTCCTTTGCAGTGACGAAAACAAAGAAGTACTCGGATTCGATGTCCCCAACCACCAGCTCCAGTAGACGCGCAGCTCCATCGATCGTGGAACAGGGGGAGGATGCGACGTTGACTTGAATGAAGACTGTAAAGCGCCTCTCGCCAACAGTTTTGCGTTTCTTCCCAGGCCGTTGTTTCTCTTCCACGACGGGACCCTGTTTCCTCGATCGTAATGTGTGCCTTCGTTCAACTACAGCACTCGATCGAGAGGCACGCGGGACGGAAGTGATTGGTGATAGAGGAACAACGGGGGTGATGTGTACCAAAGCGTGCAAGCCGCCATCCGCCAGGACCTCGACTACACGATACTGAGCTGGGTCAAAGGGTGGAAGATCGATAGGATTCCAGATGGTCATAACCCGAGGTGTACAGATATGTGTTAGTCTCAGCGCGCCCTTGCGCTTCGACGCCCCGAGCGGAAAGACCTGCTTCAGAATGAGGCGCGACAGCCAATCTGGGGAACCAACGGCCAGCACCGAATGACACAGGTATTCAGATAACCAACGTCTCGACTCAGGAAAGCCGTCGTGTGGATGCTGCACGGCCTCCATGACACTGGAGTAGGGGTGCCTGGGAGTGCGAGGCAGGAGGCGAGGAGGCAGGAGGAGCA